TAAACATGTCAGTCCTAATGTCTTTTCCAGCTATTATGTAGGAAGTCAGAGATGAGTGAGATTAACAGAGTGAAAAACACCAGCTATAATGATGTTCAATAAAGCTGTCAGTTTTTAAGTCAGGGATTAGTAGCATATCCTGGCTCTATAAATGAGTTAAAATTTAAACCACACATTAAACAATACTAGCCCCAGCAGCTCTTGGTGAATTGCCGTCTCTACCAAAAAGTTTCCAAAGAAATATAACATACCTTGGATAAACTGAAAATTAGACATGGCAGACAGTTCAATTCTCTAGTGTGTAATGTGAAAAAAATGGCATGTTTTCATTCAAAACAAAATCCAGTCAAAAGAAAACACAATCATTATTTAATTAAATCACTTATATTATTGTACCAAAAGATTTGAATTTCTATAAATTATACAGTGGATTCCTGTGTTATTTCAAATGGACTAATGGTAAATGTTTTAAGTGACTCTCCAAAAAGAAAACAAGAAACTTTTTTGCAGTGTTAGCCAGATTCTGTCATATTAAAACTCTCACTCCAGCTAATTTCAAGCTATCAACCTGTTGTTGCTGGACTGTAGTGAGAGAAAAATGTGCAAGTTGGTTTTTGTGAGCCACGGAGCTGGCTAGCACAGCTATGATTGTTTTTCAAGAAATGCAGACCAGACATGATGTCTAAGACTACTGGTAGTTAGGGATTTTTCCATAAAACAACAGACAAAATAGACTTTTACTCAGAGTCTAGATAGCTGAAGGACACAGTGAAGCAGAAAGTACTGGTCTCAATCTTTATGACAGTCATCTGTAATCAAATTAAACAGTTTCTATTTAACCTGATTTCTTATTTTGTTAAATGTAAGAATATCTGGTGTGCTTTTCCAAAGAGGGATGATTACAGATTAGAAATAAGTAATATATATGTGTATATACATATAAAGTTAGAAAAGATTTTTGAATATTTTTTGCCATAAACATAATAAAGAAGTCCATGTCTCTACCATGATTTATATAGCACGTTGCATATTCACATATACATGATGCCTTACAAAGATGTTTTTATGTTTCCTTTAAAATAAATTCAATAGATGTTTCCAGGCATTAGTGGGAAGCTGTTGCTATATGTAGTCAATTTTTATTCCTACATGTAAAGTTTTATTTCTGTTTTTTATATCTATAATCCAAGTATTCACCCATCAGTTTCTTTATTCTTAGTTTTAAAGATAAGTACGATTGTAGTTTTGACAGCTGACTGCCTTTGTAATTCTCCTTTATACAAGCTCAGAGGTGTGAAGTGCAGTTGTGTTTCTCTGTGATATGAAACAGAATTTCAAGGTTCAAGAAAAAATAAGTCAGACAGAAGGAAACAAAAACTTATGAATAAGAGAGTTGGAAGGAAAACAATGCTATAAAGGTACTCCTTAGATGACTGCAAGACACAAAGACACCTCTGAAGCACAGTAATATAGAAAAGAAATTTCAAGTTGTTTGCCTGGGGATATATAGTATAAACCCTCCAGGATCTCTCTTTCCCTGTTTTCAGGAAATTCCATATTTCTTACTAATGCCTTTGTATGAGTATATTTTTGAGGGACCTGGAAACTTAGAACCAGTGAGCCTGATACTTAATTTACATACATAGCACAAAGTTTATAACTTTACATGGAAAGAAAACCAAAATATATAACGACCGAAAGTCTGTCAAATACTAGGCCAGGAAAATATGAGTGTTAGTGTAAGATATATGGGAAATCCAGTTTGAGGTCCATGTCTGAATAAAATTTCAGGTATTTACTTAGAGATTATTGAGAAGAAAGCATTTGTACAGTTTGGAAACTGAAGACCAAAATCTACTATCATTCATCCTCCCGTGCTGATGAAAATAACTTTATTCCACAGATATAGCAGAGTTTTACTATTCCAGGGGATTTTTCCCCCCCTTAGGCTTAGATCAGTTGTACAAGGAGGTAGGATTTTATGATTATATTTCCCCAAGCTTACATTGTATTCCAATCAATTTTACTCTGCTATCACACTCCCAGGAGATTCTTGACCAAGCAAATGTTTTATTGTTTATTTTATAAACTTCAAAAACAGTACATGATTTTTGGTAGTGCTTGGGTTTGTGCTTGTTAAGCAGGTGTTTTACCAGTCTACCAGCCTGTTTTGGTGGTGGTTATACCTCACAGCCTCACAGCTTTTACCTCGAGCAGGTCTTGGCTCGACATGCTCCTATCTATACCTCTTGCATAGCTGGGATAATAAGAGTGCATCACTATGCTCTCTTGTTTATTGAGAAGAGAACAGCTAGCTTTCTGACTGTGCTGGCCTACAACTGTGATCCTCACTATCTAGGATTATAGTTACGAACCACCATGTCTGGACAAACCATCAATTATTTGAGAGAAAATATGAACAGGCACCTTTAGTTTTCTTGCAGCCCTCACAATCCTTACTTTGCCATTCTATCAATCCGAACTTGTTAAATAATCATTCTAACCCATTTCTAACTGATATCTCCCATTGAAGAGCCTGGCTTGAGACAAATGTTTAAGAATTTAACATTGCTGTTTTCCCCCTGAGGCCTAAAGGGTGAAACAATAGAATTCTTTGACTGGAAGTCTAAAAGAAATAGATTGACTAGCAAGGTATTTTGAAGGTGTATGACAATAAAAGGGTAATAAAAAGTCCCTACACAATAGGATATGTGAAAATAACAAGTTAGGATTTGAGACCATTGGTCCTTACTGCCTAATAAAAGAAGGAACTGCAAGACTAGAGCACTGATTAAGGAACAAGAATAAAAATTATCTGGAAAAATATACTATTTAAAGTTGCTTTTTTATTTTTCACATGAATGTGAAAAATGTTGTACTGGTGATAGTACAGTACATTGTTTGTTTAAGTTATGTAGAACCTTTTCCAAATTCTTTTACAGTTGTTTTCAAGTTCTAGTCATTATGGGTAAACTATACTACTACCTTTCATGAATTGTATTTCTTATCAGCCTGGATGTAGGACATTACCTTGGGCACTCACTATTAACTTTTTCCTAAACACATTCTTTTCATCATAATGCCATCTCTCTTTCTCTTTTTCTTTTCTTTCTCTTTCTCCTTTCTCTTTTTTCTTTCTTTCTTTCTTTCCTTTTTCTTTCTTTTTCTCTTTTTGCTCTCTCCCTCCATCTCTCTGTTCTGGCCTCCCTCCTTCCCTCCCTCCCTTCTTCCTTCCTTCCTTCCTTCCTTCCTTCATTCCTTCCTTCTTTCCTTACTTCCTTCCTTTTTTCTGTCTTCCCTTCTTGATGGTGTAGGAATTTAAATTCAAGGTCTTCATTTATGATGCTGGTACTCTACCATTTGAGCCATTCTATCAGATCAGGCATTTTTTTCTAGTTAAATTGAAGGTAAGAGGCTTTTGAGTTTGTATGCTCAGGCTGTCTCTGGAAGGCAGTACTCAGATCTCAGCATCATGAGTAGTTAGGATTATAAACTTGAATCACCAGTGCAGTGCCAATTGCTATGGATATTTTAAACTTTGCTTGTTTGTGGTTGTTAATATTGTGTAGATAGCCAAAGCCTATTACTGGGGTAAATAACTTTTAACTTCAATTGCTAGTATCTGGTCCAGATTAGTGGCTGGTATGTACTAAACATTCCTCTCTTTTTGAAATACTAAGATTTGAACTAAGGGTCTATGCTTGTTGACTAATGCTCCCAGTTCATTTTACTATTGTTCATTTTCAAATAAAGTTTAGCTTGTTGTCTTGGTCAGCTCAGACAACAATCCTTCTATTTATGACTACAATATAGCTAGGATGACAGGTAAATAACACTGCACCAATATTTTTATTGGTGAAGATGGGGAGTCACTAATTTTTTTCATCAGCTGGCCTCAAATCTTCTGGTCTCCCAACTTTCCAAGTACCAATGATTACTGGTTGGAACCATTGCTACCATTTCCCTCTATAATTTTTTTTTGAGGGGGTCCAGTCGTGGGGACTGAACTCTGGGCCTGGGCGCTGTCCCTCAGCTCTTCAGCTCAAGGCTAGCGCTCTACCACCTGAGCCACAGCGCCACTTCCGGCTTTTTTCTTTTTGCTTATGTGGTGCTGAGGAATCGAACCCAGGGCCTCATGCATGCAAGGCAAGCGCTCTACCACTGAGCCACCTTCCCAGCCCCCCTCTATAATTTTTAATTCATATTTTTAGTTCAGTTGAATATCCTCAATGATAACCTATATATCTTCCATTTTCAGTTGATTGTGGATTGTGGGACTATGGTGTAATGCTAGTTTAATAAGACTCTTGTAGCAAGAAAAATGCTATCTTATTAAAACATATATACATAGATAGATAGATAAATAGATTTACAGGAATGTTAAAATAAAAAGAAAAATCATTACTTCTAATCAAATATGTTCATGGTTTCCTTTTACATATATATTTCTGTAAAACAACACTAATCCTATGATGATGAATATACATTTAATTTAGTAGATAAGCCTTAGAGCTAGCTATTTTAGTATCTGAAGCAAAGAGGAAACTTATCAAGATACTTTTAATGAAGAATATAATTTACCAAGTAGGATTTCCTGTAATGGATAAAAATACCTTTCATAATGAAACCTTGTACCATCACATGTATATATCACATGTGTATATCTGAAAATCAAGGGAGGGAACTTGGTTAAGATTTAGTAAAGTGCTCCTTTTTTTTTTTTTTTGGTCGATCGTGGGGCTCGAACTCTGGGCCTGGGCGCTGTCCCTCAGCTCTTCAGCTCAAGGGGAGCGCTCTACCACTTGAGCTACAGCGCCACTTCCGGTTTTTTGGTGGTTTATTGGAGATAGGAGTCTCACAGTCTTTCCTGCCAGGGCTGGCTTTGAACCGCGATCCTCAGATCTCAGCCTCCTGAGTATCTAGGATTACAGGCGTGAGCCACCAGCACCGGGCTAAGTGCTGCCTTTTCTGTGGCTTAAGAAAGATAGTAGTCTACTCACTGGATCCTTCAGTAATGTTGCTGGCAAAGGAACTGCCCCCTGTTGAACTGCATCTCTTGCCATCCTTGAATTGTTGCCTCCTCCTGGCCCACTGGTCTATTGCTTCTTCCTGGGAACCATCACTTCCTCTTCCACTTTTGAGAGTGAATTCCTGTGATAACTTTCGGAGGCTACTGATTTCCAAGTTCTGATCTAGATTGGAATACATTACATAGAAATATGAGACAACATTTCAAGTTAGAATGTGAAATACTCAGTCTTTGAAACAGAGACATAGATTAGAATGAAGACAAATTCATTTAGCTCCTTCATGGATCACTTGCTAATCAGAGAGAGAGGAAGAGAGGGAGAGAAAGAGAGAGAGAAAACATATGCTCAGAGATACAGAGAAACTTAGAGAGACAGAGAGACACGGAGTAAGACAAAAGGAAAACTAACTAGCAGATGGACAGGTAGACATTCATAATAGAAACAGAGAAATGAAAAATGCTTTAAGTAGATTCAATTAACCATGCATTCTTTGTATACCAGCAGTATGCCTTATACTATATGCATTTCTGTGGAGAGGCAAAGTCAAAGTAAATTATATATATTATATATATATATATATATATATGTACCTTCTAAATTGTCTTTAAGAAGATATGATTCCTAGATTAGTTCAGTTAAAACCCAGGAAAATAAGTACATTTGAACTCTACTATCTGTGGCTTGAACTGTGTTAATCATAAACAGACAATTTTATAAGGCTTTAATTGTTCAAAATGATGAAAATATTGCAAAAATGCATAGACTTTAAATAACATGTAATATTTTATATAGTTTATACTATTGACTTCTGTTTTCACAAAGTGTTGACTCTGAAGAATTAGAAGAAAATTATAAATATATGATGACAACCAGACCCCAAAATACTTGAAAAAGTAAGATAAAATAATACTGAAATGAGAATACATAATATATAGAATTAAGATTTTAGTGTTTGATACTATACAAAATGAAGCATAGATTTTATTACAGGTCAACGGTTCACCATTGATTTTATTTTACTCCTAGAAGCAAATGGGATTTTACAATTCGGTTTTATAAAAGTCTAACTTATTAATATCAAAAATATTCACAGAATTATATAAGTAATAAACAGAACCATCTTGAAAAATAGTATTTTGTATTATTCATAATTATTAATGAGCCATTTGTATAATAGGTAAAATTTTCTAGGCTAATTGATGGGGAGAGAGAAGAATCATTACCCAATTCCTGTAATTTTCCTTACCTCTGTTGTTGACTCTTACTCTTACTTTGGAAATAAAAGATGTTAGCAAAACAATATATATCTTATTATATCTAGTGTTCACTATTGTTTTATTTTGATGGGGATGGAGATTGAACTCAGAGTCAATAATGCTAGAAAAATGTTCCACCACTTGAGCAACAATCTTAGCCTTTTTGTTTGTATATGTTATTAAATGCAAATATTTCACCAAATGTTATGGTTTGAATGAATGTGTCCCTCCTTTAATTTTAAAACATACAATCCAGTGTGACCGTTAGAAAGCATGGTGACTCAGCCTAGTGATTCTTGCTCTCATCAATGAGATGATGCCCTTTAACAATGTTGGAAGGGACTAGCAAGTCCCTATTATCTTTCTGCCTTATGCCATGGTAGGACATCAATAAGGTGAAATCCTGGCAGCAGGAAGACACTAGACAACAAATGTTGGCACCTTGATCCTGATTTTATCCTATTGTAGATTTGTAAGAAATGCATTTGTACTTTTTCAAGATTACCCTGTCACTTATATATAACAGCATGACTGGACTGATCAAGAATGGTGTCAAAGTGGAAAGCTACCATCCTGAAAGCCAGCGCAGGGTCCAGAATGTGAGGGGATGCAGGAACAGAAGAGCTGAGAGGTTTCCCACTAGATGAAAGCACAGGCATTGCAGCTGGGCCTGGGACACTGGGTTTGTGTATGCATGAAGAAATTACAATGAGTAATGTCAAAGTTCCTGAAAATCAACACTAGGGTAGGGTCATGGGGAAGGGAGTCAGATGAATAAAGAGAAGGGAAGAAGGGAAGGGCAGTTAGGAGGGATGGCCAAGAATGTATTCATATACTGCTTTACAAAACGGCAATCCCTTCATACAACTATATAAAGATAATAAAACTGGCATTGTGTTCAAGTTCTAGATTCATAAAAAGTCCATGGGTTTGAAGTTATCTCAAGAGCTGCCATTTTCTGAAAGATATCATTTTCTGTTATTTCTTTTCTTTTTTTATTCTTAGTGTTTGCATACAGATCTTAAGACCTGAAACATTTTTCAGATTTATAATCTTCTCTACCTTTCTCCTAGGCATGGGTTTTTGGAATTTGTCATTCTTTTTTTCCCTTGAAGTATATGGAAATAAATTATCTACCTCATGTAAATTTTGTGTCATATAATATAGAAATATTTAAATGTGAATATGTTTATGCCCCATAAAATATCACTTATTTCTTTTCATTGTCTGTTGTTTTCTCAGGGTGGCTTGGGTTTGGTTTCCTCATTAATTTTTTTTTGTGTGTGTGGTACAGAATTTCTGGTTGTTTGGTATAGATCTTGTACACATATGTACAAGTCCTTGAATAAAAACCTCTTTAATGAAGAGTATATCATAACCTGAAATAGAAAGAACTCAATATTTAATTCTTAAGGATTCAGATTTTCTTTATTCCACACTGGCTTTGTCATCTCCTGCTCCATTGCTCAACTTATCCTCTTTATTTTTTTTAATTTGTTCATATGACACACATTTTACTCTGAAAAATGATTTCCAAATTTTATAATCAAGAGATCCATAGATATGTATTTTTTTGGCTATCTTGGAAACTCAGAAAGCCTTCCAATACTGAACTACATTCTCATTTTCTCAGGATGATATCTAGGTGACCAACATACCACCCTCCCTTCCATGCTGCCTGTTTTGCTCACTTACATGTCTGTTTGTCTCCTTTAAACAGTCCAAGTTGTGCCATCAGCTACAGTTAATTCCCAAATGGACACTCATATTAGAAGTTACTACATCAATGTCACAGTCTGTATACATGCCACAGCTTTTTATTTGTTTGTTTGTTTCATCATACTAGGATGGAACCTAAGGTCTTGTATAAAGGATCTATCACTGAGCCACACTCCCAGTCCTACCTGAGGTAATACAGACTAATTTCTGCCTGTATGGTTTCTGGTAGAATAGCTTAAAGGTATTCAAGTTCTTCAAGCATTTGTACCCTGAAAAATTCATGAAGTCCTTCACTGGGGTGTCAACAGTATGCAAAAAAATAGTGTTAAAGTATAAAAATACAACCTTAGGATAAGCAAGCTACACACCTGTTTGTTGTTTATGCAGCTGAATCATTTTCTGAATATATTTTAATTGCTGAACTCTTTTACTGTTGATTTTTTGTATATGTTGGCATGAAAGAGAACTGTGATGTGACTGCACTGCATTCATTCAGTAAGTATTTAATGCGTACCTCTAGTATAGGACAGGCATTGTCTAATGCTGTGGATATAATAATAATTGAAGCAGAAAATATACAGACCCTCATGATGTTTACATTTGAATGAAAAAAAGACAGAATACAAACATACTAAGCAATAGAATATACAGCATTTTAGAAGAGGAAAGTGCTCTATTCAAAAGCAAAACATAAAAAAGGGATAAAGTTCACTTGGGCTAGGACAATGGCAGAAGGACTCACTGAAAACTGGGGTATGCCACTATAAATCCTAAAGCAGACATGGAGAAAAGACTGAACCTCTCTGGACATAAGAGGAAAGACTTGTTAAGGTCATGAGTAAGCTCATGCAGAGCACTTGAAGTGAGATTTTTTTTTCTAGAAAGGTTCTACGGGTCCAAGTAGGGCAAGGTGACTAGAAGATATTAGGGGGAAGAAGAAGAAAGAATCAAGGGGAAAGAGCTGTAGGGAAACATTTTTGATACAGCCGAGCGCTGGTTGCTCACACCTGTAATCCTAGTAACTCAGGAAGCTGAGATCTGAGGAGCACGGCTCAAAGCTTGCTCAGGCAGGGAAAGTCTGTGAGACTCTTACCTGAAGAAAACCACTAGAAAACTGGAAGTGGCACTGTGGCTCAAGCAGTAGATCACTAGCCTCGAGCTAAAGAGCTCAGGGATAGCGCCCACGGCCAGAGTTCAAGCCCCACAACCGATTAAAAAAATGATGAAGCATAATACAAGGAACCAGTTGCTAGAAGTGTTTACCAAATGAGATAATTTCAGCTTACTGAGCTGTGACCTCAGGTTTGGTTGGACTCTGATTTGCATTATTAATTGATGTAGAGAGAAATGAATCTTTCTGAGAGAGACAGGATAGGAAGGCACATATCCCTGAAAGAATGAGAACAAATCTGAGAGAGGTATTCATCAGGGTAAGTAAATATCTGCTATAAAAGATACTATTGTTCTTATTGTAGGCTCCCTTACTTTTCTAAATAACTGCAGTTAGGCAAATGTTGAGAATGATGTTGCTGCTCCTTGTATCAAAGGTATGTAGGGAGTGGAAAGCATTTGGCATGATGGCTGGTCTTTAGAGTGCTTATATGGAGGTGATTGGTTATTTTTGAACTATTTAGCTGACATTTTTATAAAAGAAATTTTTACCTTTTATGCCAACATTTATGTAACAGATTATTTTTAAATTTTTTTCCACTCTTACATTTTAAAAGAAATGTTTTGTACAATCTTTGCTCTAACTTACATTTTTTTCATTAAAATTTTAGAGAGAGAATAAGAACAAAGAAGATAGCGTCTGCAATAAGTTTCATCATTTTGAAACATTCTGAGAATGTTATTGTAAACTTAGAAGGCAGTTTTTACTCATTCAAGAGATATTTTCATTTACAATAGGGAATAATGCTAACATTAGATATTATTTGGACTCTTTGAGAAAACCAAGGACTTTTTACAAAGTGACCAGAGCAATATTATGCTGCCCCAAGATTGAAAGCAGGTAGACAGTATTATATATTTAGGAAAGAACTTCCTGCATAGACATCCATAGTGTCTGGAGAGCTTCTGGGTTCTATCACTATTTCAATGGGGCCAACCAATGCACAAGTGAGGTCAGAGGGCTGCTAGAGGTCAAAGCTCCATGGATGGCTCAGTCAGGATTAGCTATGGTTATTTCTGTTTTTTGTCCTTTGCTTTAATTGTTATTCCACATGGCTTCCTGTGATACACATAGCTATGATTCTGCAACATCACAGCACAGCTTAAAAACACATTTTATTAAAACCATGCTTATCCTGTAAGAAGGAAAGAAATGGTGGGTTACTTAAGGGTGGCAAAAGGCTAAATTTCCTACAAAATTGATTTGGCAATACATCAACCTTGTAAAGAGAAATTGATTTTTTAAAACTTATATTAAACTGCAGCCTTGGTGATTTTGCTATGCACTATTTATGGGTAGAGTGGGTGATAATGTAAAGAAGCAGGCTGATATATGCTTGTTCATATTCATCTAATTCTCTAATACTCAATATATCTGGCAATAAAGAAAAAACCCAAGCAATATAAAAAGCTTCATGTTAAGACTTTCCAAAGCTCAAACATGTAAAAATAATGAAAGTCAAAGATTCTATATAGCTCACAATACCTTTCAAAGCCTTCTGCTTTGGGGTTGAAAGCAATATGTCAATGTGGTGATAGAAAATTTCATCTGAGTCATTTTTGTTTTCTTCAGAATTCGGTCTTATTGATGCAGTCCTTTGGCATTCTGCAGGCTCTGGTTGTGAATTGGTTAATGTAAGGCTTTTATCATTTTGGTTCTCACACTGACCTGCACCACTGGTTAGTGTTTTCTCACTCAGAAAGAGCTTTTCTCTAACACATACTGCACAGCTGGACTCAGTAGTGCCTTCTATATGGTTTACCCTGGTTGCTTCTTCAAATTCTTTATTCTTTACCACTGGTAATATTTGCCATGTGTTTTCAACCTTTTCCAGAGAATGGAGTGACTCAGGAGGGTTTCTCATTGCCACACGGCAATTAAAGTCATTTGTGCCTTCTTTATCATTTTGCGTAATTAATCTTTGCTCAAATTCATCAGTTTCACAGGTCATGACTGGTACTTCTATTGTTCTGGGGGTTTCTATCTCTAGATGATTTATCTGGATCTCTGTTTGATTCCATTCCACAGTGCCGGGGCTAATGTGATGCACTGGGCTCCCTAGGCTGCTAGAGGAGGCAGGCCTGAGCATTGGACTTTGGGTTCTTTTCCTTTCCAATGGCTGCTGTGTGCTTCCGTAAGAGTCACCATGTATAAGGGTTTTGCTAGTAATGTCTTTGCCTGCTATATCACCATGGCTTTTCTCACAGCCAACCATAAATTCAGGACACTGGGTAAAGGAAAATGTTTTACCAGAGATCTCTATAGGTCCTAAATGTCTCGTGATCCAGTGAGATGGGCTGACTGAGGTAAAACATTGTATATCATTTTGACTGAAAGGGATAGATAGAGAATTTGTATTCTCACTGTCTTCAGTAGGTGGCGTTTTATTGTCTTTACAATAGATGCTGGCTGCTTTTTCTCCTATGAGCTGCTTGCTCAGAAAAGACAGAGAGCAGAAATCAGAATATGAGTCATCTTGCATGGGAGCAGTATTGCTGGTAACAGAATTTCGTAAATAATCTGTTCTTTCTGTGGCTGGTTGTACATTCAAGTCAGATGTGATGATTTCTTGGACATCAGAGCTGCTGCTTCTCTCTGGATGCACATCCTTAGCGTCCTCAAAAGGCATTTTATTTAAATCTGTATTACTTAAACTTGTAGTCTTCAGGATGTCACAGGAAGTAGCAGGAATATTTTCCAGAAGAGTGCCAGCTACAGGGGAATATTTCCTTTTTGGAGTGTCCTGATTACTTTTAAAGACCTTCTGCTGAGATATGGCAGGTTTTCCCTGCATATGGTCTGAGACAGAAGAATGTGTATTGGGCTTATTTCTCTCTCTCTTGAGACATGAGGTCAGAGCAACAACATCAGTGTCAGAATTCTCCTCCCGGAGAGCAAACACAATGGGAAGAGAGGAATGAGAACAACCTAAATACTGGTGCTTGCTTTTGAGCTGGTTTTCAAGGTGGTTAGTACAAATCGGTGGAGAGGACCTGGACGTTTCTCTAGTGTTGTGATTGGAGGATGTGTACATGGACTTCATTATTTTCCTCCGTCTTTTGGGAAGAATTATATTAATCAATATATTCTGTTTCTTACTCATATATTTGACCTTTATTTCTTTTTCTACAATGCTTACTTTCAGAGAAGGGCTCTCAGTTCTGGAAATTTTTTGTTCATTTTCAAATGGCACCTCAGGTTTTAAAACTTCTTCTGAGATATTCTTGTATTTTGGAAAGCAGTGCTTACACGTGTAGCATCTCCTAATGCGCCTGACGGAGTAATGCTGCTGACATGTTGGACATCTCTTTTTTGTTGGGAATTGTGCAGCTGTTTTACAGAAAATGCTTTTATTGATTTCTACTTGCACATTGAAAGCCCCACAGTTGACTTCTGTAATAAATTTTCCTTTTGCAGGTTTAAAAGCTTCTACTGTGCTTGGGCAATCCCGTAGAATAATTTTTCCTGATAACGATTTTTCAGAGTCATTAAACATGACCATTGGTAAGATGTTCTCTAGCTGATGGGAGACAGCCAACGAAGGAACATCATTTTCCTTCCTGCTGTGTATTTTGCTGTCAGATGAAGATTGTTTCTTATCTTTAGGGAGAAGAGAGGAATTCTGCTTTCCATCCATAGAAGCAGATGTAGGTTCATTTCCACTTCCCTTAGATTTCCCTAATGTCCTAGCTGGATGAAACACAGTCTCTGAAGTGCTTCCTTTTACTTCCTTGTCAAGATCTTTGTGGGTTTTTTGACCTGCTTGACCAGATGGCTGAGAAGTACCTAAAGAGGAAGGAAAAAGAAAAAAAAAAGTTTCTACCATCCAATTAAATAGCAGATACTCCAAACCCCATAATGGAATGTAATGAATATCTTTTGTAAGAATTAGGGGGGAGAGGTTAACAGTTTTAATTACTTTCTAGTATGACAAGTTAATTTCCACACGTGTTTATTTTTCATTTTAAACTAATTCTCTAAGAGCACAGAAGATCATCTACTAGCTTAGAAAATAAAATTTAATTTAATTATATAAAATGATTAAAATGAGCAAAATGAGAGTTTAAAAAATATGCAAGTTAGTTTAAATGCACATTCTTGATAAAAAGCACTTTTCCAGGACTGGTTGAGTATCAGACTGTAGCATGATAGTACAGCATTCTACAAGCTACCTCAACTCCATGTAACTTTGAGATTGTACCAGAAAGAGGATGACAGAGAATGAAAGATAAAGCTCTACTTTTCTAGATTAATCTGCATCTGAAGGTTACTGATTGAAGGAAGTGGAAATTGTGAACAATTACGATGTCATACAAATCAATAAAGTAAAATGTTGTCATCAATTTATTTTAAATTTAATGAATTTAAATATGATATATGTGTATATATAAGAAGCAATGCTGTAAATACTTGTATAGAGAGTAAATATATTTGGTTTAACAGGAGAAGGAAAATACTAAGCATACTCAAGTACTTAGAGAACCAAACCATTTCAATTTGCTTCCCTTTTAGCCTGAAGGAAGGGCTTTTCACTGGCAGGCTGTTCCAGTGAGTCTTGTTATAATCTGAGAGTTGTAATGTGTAAATCAAGGAGGAAAGACATAGAAACCTACCTCTCTAAAGCTCCTTTGCAACAGAGGACTACCATGATAATAGTTTATGGAATAATAAGTTTCCTTCCATGACTGGAGCTTATCATGTGTTCTTAAAATAACACTTTCATGCCAAGAGCTGTTAAGTCATAGCCTCTTCCTAAGTCATAGCCTCTTCTGATTACATTGTATAGCACTTTGCAACTGACTATACTTTAATATCTACAAAACCATGGAACTTCATTTAATATAATTTTCCAACTTCATTTAATATAATTTTGTATTTATATAATATAGTCTTTCCATTTCCTTATGAATGATGCAATATCATTCTTTCTGATGGAAGCATAGAATTTGATTGTGAACATATACCACATTTTCTTGATCCATTTATCCACTGAGGGGCATTAGGGTTGATTCTGTATCTTGGTTATACTAAACAATACTGCAATGAATTTGGTAGTGCTGGTAGCTTTAGTGTGGCTTTTTTTGTGGTCGTTTGGATAAATGCCCAGGAGTGGAATTACTGGGTCATAGGGAAGCTCCATACTGCTTTCCAGAGTGGCTGAACAAGTTTATACTCCTACCAATAATGTAGTAGCATTCCCTTTTGGCCACAATCCCACCAGCATCTGTTATTATTATAATAGCCATTTCTATGCTCCCCCTTATCCCCCCCAAAACAGATAAACTTACATATAAGACAAAAGGTACACAAATTACAAACAGTGACAAAGGAGGGGGAGAAAAAAGCAAAGTAACAAAAAAACCTCTTGCTTCCATTTCTTGGAGTTCATTTGGATAAACATTATTTTATATGATCATATGCACATGGCTATCATAATGGCTATTATAACTGAGGTGAGATGGAATGTCAACGTTGTTTTGAGTTGCATTTCTTTTATGGCCAGAGATGTTGAACATTTCTTCATGTATGTATTAAGTGAAGTAAAACAGACCTCAAGAAACAAGGATTGCATGTTTTTTCTCATTTGTAGTAATTAGAATGTGGCTATAAATTTGTGTATTTTTTGTCTTGTATGTAAGTTTATCTGTTTTGGGGAGTATTAGTGGGAGCACAGAAATGGTGGGAGAAAGGGTGAACAAATGCAGAAGTGATAAGCGTTAGACACTATGTTGAAAATGAGCTATACAATTTGTGGGAGCAAGGGATCAGGAGGGAAAATATGGATAGAACATAAGGAAAGAGAGGTGACACTATTCAAAAAGAAATGTACTCATTACCTGACTTATATAACTGTAACCCCTCTGTACATCACCTTTACAATAAAAATAAAAACAATAAAATAAAAAGAACATGGAACTGAGAAAGGTGGATAATACTGCACTAAAAACAGATTCTTAGAACAGTGATACTATGTCTAAATATGTAAATATTTACATTTATTTTTTATTCATAATACCAATAATGCAGAATGTATATTTGTAACAACAAGTCAAAGTTCAAGATGCTTCTATACCATTTACATGTATTTATCTTCTTATTTTCACAGGGTAAAGGACAAGGTAGGTAGGATGTTAGTTCACTCTATGCTTACTTCTGAAGGTATTTAAATGGACTTACATGCTGTGGCATTCAGCATTTTCCATTTTCTATATGCTTTTCTTCTCTTCCTCCTCATTTTGGGGAGTGATGGGTGTTCAATTCTGACTGACCTTGGAAAGCATAAAAATTGAAACCATATTACACAGAAATTTAGGTTTGACCAAACTACTAATGAACTCATCTACTATCTCATCAGCATAGTTCTTTTCTCTGATTTCCTCTATGTATTTTTTCAAATATTTTACTATCATAATTATACTTTCCTTTCCTGTTCATTTGCCTCTCAATTAGTTAGTGCATTCTTATGTGCATGTACAAATTTCAACATGTAGATATACACATACACAGGTTTGTAAATAATATATGTGACATTTAGCTTAGAAGTTTTCCTAGAATTATATAGTTATTGCAAATAAGGGAAACCATGGGACCTATGGTTCTTTGGTCCTGGCTTACCTCACTTAATCTTTTCCAAGTCTTTCCAAGTCTAGAACAAGCAGAAAAAGTCAAAAGCTATGTACATGTGATCATATAAAATGATGTTAAACATAGCTGGGCACCGGTGGCTCACGCCTGTAATCCTAGCCACTCAGGAGGCTGAGATCTGAGGATGGCTGTTCAAAGCCAGCCCGGGCAAGGAAACTCCGTGAAACAATCTCCAATAAACCACGAGAAAACCGGAAGTGGTACTGTAGCTCAAGTGGTACAATGCTTGCCTTGAGCTAAAGAGCTGAGGGACAGTGCCCAGGCCCAGAGTTCAAGCCCCACGACCACCACCACCACCAACAACAACAAAAAGATGATATTAAGTGAAATGAACCTCAAGATAGGGACACAAGTGGTTTTTTTCTTTCTTGCTATTGTTTTTGAAAGTATTTAAAATGTTTATCTTGTATGTTCTTTCCCTACAGTATAACCCTTGTTTTCACTGTATTTGATTCTGGTGCCCTGCATCTTGTATATACATTTTTCTGATTTGGGGAGGGGAAGGGAAATAACAAAATGCTGAAATAAGGATACAGGTTGACCCATTGTAACAATGAGATGTACAAGACACTATGTTGAAAACAAACCTTACAACTTGGAGGGGGGAGGGTGGAGTTGGGGAGATGGGGAGGGTAGGGATAGTAGGGAAAAAACAAAGAAGGAGGTAAGAATGCTCAACCGGAAATATACTCATTATCTTACTCATGTAACTGTAACCCCTCTGTACAGTATTTTTACAATAAAAACAAATTGGGATACAGGTGGACCCATTGCAACAATGAGATGTACAAGTCTTTATGTCGAAAACGAACTTTACAACTTTGGTGTGTGTGAGGGAGAATAATTGGGTGCGGGGGTGGGGTGGGCGGGAGGGAAGGATGGGAAGGGATGGGAAGGGGAAGCAAAGGAGGAGGCTACAACGCTTGATAAGAAATGTACTCATTATCTTGCCCATGTAATTGTGAGCCCTCTGTACAGTATTTTCACAATAATAATAAAAAAAAGAAGTCGTAAAATCATGGAACTTAACTTGATTTTGTGTCTTTTTTTGGTTGGTCATGGGGCTTGAATCTTGGGACTGGGCACTGTCCCTAAGCTCTTCAGCTCAAGGCAAGCACTCTACTACTTGAGCCACAGTGCTACTTCTGGTTTTCTGGTAGTTAATTGGAGATAATCTCACAGACTTTCCTGCCCAGGCTGGCTTTGAACGGTGATCCTTCCATCTCAGCCTCCTGAGTTGCTAGGGATTACAGGTGTGAGCCACAGGTGCCCAGCTTGGTCATTTTTAAAAATTATTTTTATAGAAATGTATAATTTTTTGTGAAGTTGACCTAAATTTAATATAATCAGATTTGTAGTCAAATTAAATTAAATGGGAATAGGAAGGTGAAGAGAGCAATAATAATTAAAATGGGGTATGAATGTCAAAAGGCATGATCTGTGGGGAGTTGATTAGCAGGAGTGAGCAGGGGAAAAGCAAAGATACAGAGTTGATAGAAAACAGAGGGGGCACCAGTTGTGCATGCCTGTAACCCTAGCTACTCAAGTGGTTGAAATCTGTGGATCGTGGTTCAACACCAGCCTGGGTAGAAAAGTTCTAGTGAGACTCTTATCTCCAATTAATGCCTCAAACACACACACACACACTCTCTCTCTCTCAGACACACACACACACAAATCCTAAACACACACACACACACACACACACAAATGCAAGTGGAGCAAAAATGCGCAGGAGACAAATGCAAGTGGAGACAGTGCCCAGGCCCCAAGTTCAAGCCCCATCACCAACAAAAATAAAATAAACAAAACTCCAAAGAATATCACATATTATACACATATGCATAATTATATACATGCATAATGAATCTTTATATATATTTATGTATAATGAATCTTACCACTGTTTGAAAATTGTGGGAAAGGAGAGGGAGGGAGAATGGAAATATAAAGAAGTAAAACTGTTCAAAGTACACTGTTTGCCTGTAAGAAATTATACAATAAATCCTTTCTATTATTAACATATGATAATTTCTTCCCTTTAATGCAATACTAATTTTTGTCTTCTGATCTATCAATCCATCTATGGTCATGTGTCTCTGTTCACTGTGGCAGTAATTCAGCTTCAAGGCTTTATCTATATTTTCTACATCTACTTTCTTATCAACTTTCTGTCATCAACTTTCAGGAACCACTCTATGAACGCTGTCCAGTCCACTGAGTGATCTTTTGTTCAAGGGCCCATTAATTCCAGATTTCTAAAGCCAATAGTTTATTTTTAACTTTTTTGAGTTTTATAAAATATAACCACTCAATTCAAGCTGCATCCATTTCTTCCTTTTAATTCTGTGGAGCCACACTCTCCTGGTCCTTGTTCTGCTCCGTTAGCCTTTTTGTGTTGTTGTTGCTGTTGGTGTTTTGTGCCAGTTCTGGGGTTTGAACTCTGGGCCTGAGCACTGTCCCTGGGTTCTTGTGTTCAAGGTTAGCTCTACCACTTAAGCCTCAGTTCTACTTCTGGAAAGAAGAGTCTCACAGACTTTCCTGCCTGGCCTAGCTTCCAAATAAAATCCAGATCTCAGCCTCCTGTGTAGTTGGGATTTATAGGCGTGAGCCACAGGCATGGAGCAGAAGTAGTATTATTTTTAAAAGAATATATAAACCATCTCCATTTGTTTTTAGAGTTTGTGTTTACTCTTCTTAAAGGGAAGGAGATCTCCTTATCCTTCTTTACCCTAAAAAGCTAACCTATATTCGTCAGGGTTGTATATATCTTCTCTTAGGTCTGAGTCCTCAAGGCTACTACTCTATCACATGAGCCACAGCCCCACTGGTAGCTAATTGGAGGTAAGAGTCTCACAGACTTTCCTGCTCAGGCTGGCTTCCACTCAGACTCCTCAGATGTTAGCCTCCTAAGTAGCTAGGATTATAGGTATGAACCACTAGCACCAGGCACCATCAGCCATTCTTAATGCATTTTTCTCTAAACTTTGCTATCTGCAGGGTTCTTTCAATTCTTCATCAACTCTCTTCCTAGGAAATCTTGTGTTCGTGGCTATAAAATAACTTGCAAAAATGACTCTAACATTCACTATTTTACTATTGATACTTATAACTGTATAAACTCCAAATTCCAGGAACTACCCAGCAGGATGTATATGTATATACATATACATGTGTGTGTCTGCTTGGATATCTAATTGGAATCTCAAATTTACATGCCTGCAGTTGTTTATAACCTTTACTTTCTCTAGTTCTTTTCTCCCCTGCATCCTACTAGTTTCAGTCAGGAAAAATTCAACCAATTCAAATCAGACACCTAGACACCATCCCAGGTATTATCCGTATCTCTTTCCTTTAACTTTCCTCATCCAACCAATCAGCAAATTTGCCCTGATGTGTTTCTGAACATTTATCATAAACATGTAAATTTATTTTCTCTCAATTGTCAAGTCCCTCTTCTTTCCATCCCCCCACACATTTGAGCACAGTTTTAAATGTGGACTATTGAAATACTTTACCTGATTTTTCTATATTAATGTTAGTTGAGAATTTATGTAGTAGTTGGAGTAATTTTTAAAAATCTTGTCACCTTTCTTCTTTAAAGCTCTTCAGAAAGCTTCTCATTTTACTTGGAAAAAAAATTCTAAACACCTTACTTTATTATAAATATGCTTAAGATTTAATTTTAATGACAAATGAAATATATCAGACTTTTGGATATACATTAAGGGATCCATTCCACAACAGATTTCTTGGATTTATATTTTTAATAAATGTTTATTTGTTCTTTGTAAAATAGGCAATAAAGCTCAGGGAAGTTACCATGATTGCTGTTATAAATCACCAAAATACTATCACATCTGATGCTTTTATATTGGATTTTTCCAAGTGGGCTTTGACTCATTACTATAATTCAGAGAAGAGTAAGGAAAATGTAAATAGGAAGCACTAACAATATCTTTCTACTGCAGAATTACATAGTGGTACCATTTTTTTCTAAGAAAACTATTGGGGAGTAAAGAGGTTTTATAAAAGGAATTGTTAAAAAATTTTACTGGTGCCATGTTTTTGACAAATTGCTTAAAAATCCTCTATTGTGTTGCTGAGCTGAAACACCTTCCTGGAAATATTGAAAGATAAGGTTCTATTACGACAAAGGAGAAAGATGCATAAAAGGTAGATAATTATTATTATTAAAATTCTAATACATAAATACAGATGGTTAAATGCTTAACTTTCCAGGTAGCACCTCACCCAGTGTTCTTTGGAATCCAGATGGCTTCAGTTTTTTATAGAATTGGAAAGAAATCAGTGTTTTTCTTATTTTATTTTCTTGATTGTCACACAAGGTTTATATCCTCTGCACTAAATTTTAAAAGAAAATTCAAATAGGTAAAACAAATAGCAAAAAATTTAAGCTTAAAATATTTTTAATGCTTTTTTATTGTAAAAATAGTGTACAGAGGGGTTACAGTTACGTGAGAAAGGTATTGAGTACATTGTTTCTAATGTTCTAATTTTTTTATTCCAAAATTTTCACTTATTTTTGAAAGTATGCTTAGACTGTAGAAATTTTTCTTCTACTCGCATTCCTAATTTGACTAGCATGAAA